TGTGATTTTAGTACTTACGAGATTCGTGCAATAAGTAAAAACAGCTTAAAACATCAGCAATATGAATGTGAGTTACATAATAGAAGTCCTCCTTAATGTGATACAGAACTAGTATCTTACACAGATAAGCACAATCGACGTAATTTAACAACATATAAATATGGTGCAATATGAATAAATTTAAGAATAATTAAAACAAAAAATATACTATAACAATGAACCTAAAACTAAAAACCTTAAAAAATAAAATATAATAACTAAAATACATTATTAAAAGGAGTCCCTTTAGTCAAGGTTCCGAAGATACTGGCAGCGTTCCCCCTTTGGATAGCTAGACTTATTCTTTGTCCGAGGTAGCTGCCAGCTCTTCGGTCTCCTGTGATGTCGACTAATCTTTTCGCTATTTCTTTAAAAAGCCTTATAGCGCTAGGACCCCACGGACCAAGGGTCTCGACACCGAATGGGACAAAATCATATTCGGAGCCTAGACCCCTGTATTTGCCTGCCTTAACTTTTTCAGCCGCTTCACAAGCCGCACCAGCTCTGTTGTTGGTTCCATGTAGATGGGAAGGGGGCAGCGTGTCTGAACAGGTTGCATCCCATACTAGCACCCGACCCATCTTCCATGGAATCAAACTCATACCGTCCGGTCTCTTGCCATCGTCTCTTGTGGTATTGCAAGAGACGATGGCTCAAGTAGACTTGGCACGTTGACGGTGGCAAGGGACCGGCGTATGATATCGTTAAGTGCGGCGTGTCTCGAGAAGCGGCCTGCACTTTTTTGGCAAGACAGTCCATGATGTCCTAGCTTGTCGACATCACTGCCGCAGGGACATTTATGAGGAGCGCAGACCGGGACCCCAAGCCGTAGACAGGTTGCCATTCGGAGTGTGTTAGGCTCAAGAAATGTGCCTGTATTTGTCGAAGGGTACGCGTGAAGCCAGTAGCCAAATAATAATAATAATAATAATAATAGAGATATACGAGATTATTATAATAATAATAATCATTTATTTCAGATAATGATAATAGAATTATAATCCATAGTTATTAGTACAAGTTAGTAACAATGTCGGGCTTATCCTATGTTAGTAGTATTAGTATATTAATTAATCAATCAATACCAAATTATCCGCCATATTAATTATATTCACAATTATAATCTATTCTACATGTCAATCAAATTCAGTTAACAATTAATTAATAGATATTTATTAATAGATTAATTAATAGATTATGTCTCAGTTTAGGAATCCATAACAGGAATAACAACTGAACAGAAATTTTGATCCACCTTTTATCCTATCCTGTCTGTTGAATTGAATTTGTGATTAAAAATATCGATCTGGTTTCAAGCTACCATCATCATTATGAAAATCATACTAACTGTACTAGAACAAGTTAAATAACCCACCACGTGTTAACATTACCATGCTCGCATTTTGAACAGCTCAAAAGCCGTAAACGTCGCGTTATCGAGACGTTTAATGATATAGGTAGTTTTGCCTCATGTTTGTGTGTGAGTGAATTTTTTTCAGCCTTGACACTAATTGCGTCACTATGCCCATTTTGGATTACTTTTGGTTCTATGTTTTAGAGCACTAGGAGATCATCGATTAACTCATTGAATCAGGGTACAACTTGTTGTTTGATCGTTTATCTTAAAAAGTTGGTAATATATATTGTTTATAACGTAACGTTGATCGATGCTGTTCAAATTTTTTTTAATAATATGTACAAACAAAGTCTCCCTATCCATCCATAGGTAAGGCCTGTGCCCTAGCAGTGGGGACATTAATAGGCTGATGATGATGATGACCATGACATACAAAGTCTCTAAAATGGAAAAGCTGCTGTTGATATACCTCATCATAATTTCTACGAAAACTACACTTCCGGAAATATCTTTCGTCCCATCAAGCATTTTAAGTATTGACGGTCCCTAGCTAAAAAAAAGTAACAGTGAGCTAAAAGTTATTTATTACCTACGCAGTTTTGAAGCTGATTTATTAACAATCTTTTCGTGTTTTTCAAATTATTTCTCAACCATCAACATAATATTTTTGCTATAGATCGTTGAAACTTGGGCCGTTACGCTAACACTAAGTGGGCCGATAGGTGAGTCCGGAAGTATATATCCCTGAAACTGTTATCGGGTTAAAATACAAGTTTTATATGCACAGCAGCCAAGCCTTGAATAATTTGATCTTCATAACGTGTGAGCTACAATCACTATTTAGTTTATATATTCATCGGATTAAGATGAGCAGATTAAAGGAACCTTTGTAGAAAGTACAAGTAACTTAACCGAAAAAGGATTGTCTGTCTAAAGAATATACCATCAAACATAAATTATCCTTTTATGTGCATATACAGGAATCTGATGGTGAAATAGTTAGCACGACAGGTGGAAGTTAAGCAACTTTAGCAATGACCGGTCATTAGGATAGGTGAGAAAAATAAGTAAGTTGTTTGTGCTTCGGAAGGCAAGAGTTAAGCCATTGGTCCCAGCTGCATTTGCAGTGGAGCAATTATTAGCACCTTTTGGGTGAGACACAGGGTTATGTGGGATTCTTCGGGGAGATCCAACAGTGCTTCCTCGCCTGCCGGAGTGGATTACGTGGGATCGAGAGACTCTCCTCTTTACCCCTGGCAGGGGGACCTCACCCTTGCGACCAGGGGGATACCTGGAAGCACCAGGGCATCCCCGCTCGACGGGTGAGACTGTGCAATGCGGATGGTAGACCACCCTGTCTGCCATCCGCTGGTCTCACTAGGGAGTCATTAGCTTCCACTAATTTGCACTGTGCCCAGGTAGTAGTTTATGGTCCGTTCTTCTTATTTGATGTGTAACATCTTTCCTCTCGCTTTCCTGCAATTTGTGGGAGTGATTTCGTGTGTAACATGAAGTCGCGAAAGCGCGCGCTATTTGATTTGATTTTAGAACATATAGACCAGGGTCGATAATTTTAAAAATGGTGAAAAGTGAAAAAAAATTATAGTAGGATGAAACCCATTAGAAAAGGTAGAGAGTATAACAAAAATGAAAGGAAAAATAAATTACGGGCGATCTGAGGTCGGGAAGGGGGAGGGGTGAGTTTTTAAGGGTAAAAAATGGTTAATCTCGATTTCCGGTAAAACTGCAAGTCCTATGAAAAAAAGTTAAATGGCAAATTTGTAGGTAATAAAAAGATCTACAACTTTTGTATCGACACTTTTTTCACATAACCTCAAAATTTATGTGAAAAATGCGAATAACCGAGTTTTTGGTTTTTGATTTTTATTTTTTGCAAAAAAAAATATTTTTTCACGAAATTTGGTGAAAACTTCCCTTTGTATGTCCCAAACATACAGTATTTTTTTTGATTTAAAATATTCATTTTTTCACTTTATTTTGACTTATATCCAAAAAGCACCCTAATTTTCAATCGAAAATTCTCACGTCAAAATATCTGCTTTTTTAAAAAAGTTGGGGTGTTTTTTGTTTGTTGAAATCTCTACTTTCTGATGGTATAAAAAAATATACACTACTATGATAAATGTTCTCAGAAAATGCAAATTAATAATGAAAAAAACTCGAATCCAAAAATCCTATTTTTAATACCTACTTACAACAACTATTTTTGCATGTTTTATGGATTTGTAATTTTTCTGTTTATCAATATAACATGAAATCTTACGTTTTTCGAGTAATTAAAGTGTAAATTTTAATAAATAGTTCAAAATTATACATAATGATTCAAATAAATTTTTCGGTTTGGAGTTTTTTTCATTATTAATTTGCAGTTTCTGAGAACATTTACCATAGTAGTGTATATTTTTTTTATACCATCAGAAAGTAGAGATTTCAACAAACAAAAAACACCCCAACTTTTTAAAAAAAGCAGATATTTTGACGTGAGAATTTTCGATTGAAAATAAGGATGCTTTTTCGATATTAAGTCAAAATAAGGTGAAAAAATGAATATTTTAAATCAAAAAAATTACTGTATGTTTGGGACATACAAAGGTAAGTTTTCACCAAATTTCGTGAAAAAAAATTTTTTTTTGCAAAAAATAAAAATCAACCACCAAAAACTCGGTTATTCGCATTTTTCACATAAATTTTGAGGTTATGTGAAAAAAGTGTCGATACAAAAGTTGTAGATCTTTTTATTACCTACAACTTTGCCATTTAACTTTTTTTCATAGGACTTGCAGTTTTACCGGAAATCGAGATTAACCATTTTTACCCTTAAAAACTCACCCCCTCCCCCTTCCCGACCTCAGATCGACCGTAATTTATTTTTCCTTTCATTTTTGTTATATTCTCTACCTTTTCTAATGGGTTTCATCCTACTATAATTTTTTTTTCATCCCACCACCTCGGAAAGTGTAATTTTGCGCTTCGAAATCTGGCTGGAAAATTCTATTTTATTCGCTTGAGCGGCAAAGTAGATTTGAATTTAGAACATCACATATAATGAGTACTCAATATAATTGTAAATTCAAAACGTCATTAAACCTATTTAATGTAACCTCTATGGTGCCAAATTTATGATTAGAACTTTTTAAATTGTGAAAAAATTTAAATTTGGAACCTTCTTGGTTTCTTTGTTTTATTTGCGTGCTTCGCGCCATTCTAGTTTTTCACGTTTTATTGCTTAAATATTTTGTCATTATAAATTGTTTTCTTTTTCATTTTGTCATTTCCTCGCTGAGGTGGGATGAAAAGTTACGTATTGCACTCGAGTGGAAAGATTTTTCACCTTGTGCTCGTTTGTTTCCCTCGCTGACGCTCAGGATAAGTTCTTATTGGAAAGCCTATATTATTATGGTAGGTGGCGAGATCATCATTATCATATTAGCCATACATGCTGAACATAGGCCTCCCCCAAGGACCTCCACTTCGAACGGTCTTGCGCTATTCGTAGCTTAGTTCTGCACCAGATCCTCGGTGCATCTCGTCATATAGAGATAGCGAGATAATATTAATGAAATTATGTGGTCAATGTCCACAGTCGTGAAGCAGGAGCGTCCACCGATGCGTGTCGGGCCCCACCCGGCGCTGAAAGAGAGGGGCCGAGCCATCCCCCCTGGGGGACCCCCGCCCAACCGCGGCCCGATCGCCATGCCGCCCCACGTCAGGGTACGCTCGTCCCCATTAGACGTGTACTTTGAGATCGACATCAAGGTCAGTTGGGTTCTGAGTGGAGCTGAGAGCATGCGGCTTGCGCAGGTAGGTCGGGGAGTTTGCAATGTCCCTGCAATATAGAGAATGTCAAATGCCTCAGTGACATCTTATTTGAATTATTGCAGGTATACAAAATGTTTAGTCAAGTTTTTTTTTGATTGGTTTTGTTTCTTAATGTATCGGATCAGTACTCGAAAGTTGAAATGACCTTGTTTGTTATGGGACATCATTATTTTACATTACTCTTCGTTATTTAAAATTAAGCTATAATGCTTTATATAACTGAATTCTAAATAACAAAGAGTAATGTAGTTTGTATTTTTGCCTTAGAATTTCAGGTCGAAATTCTTGTTAAGGCTCGTACTTAGGTTAAGTATAAAGAAGTTCTTTATGAAAGATGTTTTCTATTATTTTCTATTAAGTATAGATTTGATTCTTGACATTCGTATTTATATATATATATTACATAAATTATGACAAAATTTGGTCATAACCTGAAGAATCATTGCAAACTCCTTTTGATACATTCTAACATTTAGTTGCTCTGCAGCTTTCTGTCTACAAGCTGATCTAACACCTAACGCGTAAGTATAACTTCTATTGTGTTTGATTTCTAGTATTACTAAAACTTCATCCCGGAATAAAAAAGAATTCAATGAAACTGGCCCACTAAAAACAAATATCTACCATACTTTAATACAATAGGACAACGAATGAAGCTTTAAACAACATAAAACAGTAATTCACCAAAAACAATCGCAGAAGACGTAGGTGGCATGTGCTCTGCGCTTGCGCATCTTACTCACTCCAGCACTCAGTGGGAGGCACTTAATTTGTCGTGTGTGTTTCGTTCACATTTTCTCTCGCGTCGCACTGTGTGACCGTGTGTGACGTAAAAACCTGTTTGAATTTAGCGTAAAGATTTGAATGCTTTCCACATTTAGCATCAGTTTACATCAGTAAGAAAAAAATGTGCGATTGCCTGCTTTAGCTACCAATGCATGAGTAAACAGCCACATTACCAACAAGTAGCGACATAAATATCATGAAATTATGAGTCTCCTAAAAGAAGTTATGATCGGTTACAAATTGTTTGGAAACATCGGTTTTGAACGCATTACGGTTTCTTTCCGTTTCCAATTACTATAAATCTGCAGTATCAAAATGGATAAAATAATTACGTCACAAAACCATGCTGTTTGGTTATCTCTAAGCAAAAAAATATCGATAAATTTTAAATCCTATAATCGTTAAATACATTCTTGGTTTATTTCGATTCGAACCTAACCCAACCCTTTTAGGTTGCCCTCTAATCCTTTGTAAAATAAATCTCTTGATTGCAAAAGCAAGCTGCTAATATCATATTCTTGAAAAGTACAATATAAGTACTTTTCTATAATATGATATTACTGTTTGGTTGGATGACAAAGTGTGTTCATTATGCACAGGTTTTGCTCTTCCTACCACATCCCTTAAAAAATATCAAATGCACAAACTCTGATTTGCATGAAACCTTTCTCATGTACAGTTAGTATGTAAAATTTGCTGTCCTCGATCGCAGTTACAATACATGAAATCTTACGAGGTCTCACTCGAAACTCGGCCGGCGTGCAGTGTGAACACCAAAACAAACATAAGGCCAGAGTAAACAGGGATTGCACGTACTTACAAGAGTATGTATGCGCCAGCGAGCGCTTTTGACACGTTTGGAGCAAAATAGAGGCGGCCGGCGATTGAGCTTATTCCGACACATTCGTCAGATTCTGACGAAAAGACTTAAATTCCGTTTTTGTCAGAAAAAAAACAGCCTATGATTTATTTTGACGAAAAACTAATTTGACGAATGTGTCGGAATTCGATTGAGCTCCACCTAGGAGCGACTTGCAAACCACTGAAGAAATTTTGAGTATGTATCTTAATCATGCTTGTGTGAATTTAAATTTGTGTAGGGGTGAAGAGCTAGTGCGATTTTTATTTATTTTGAATGGAAAAATGGGACCAGAGCTTGGTTTGGTACCTATTAGCAGTTTCAAAGGCGCTACACTATGAAAGATATAGAATTACTTCAGTTACTCCGTGATCCCCTGGCGCTTGCAACTGTGCCAAAATATCGGGGACGCGCAAAAAATAAGGTACACTGTAGCAATCCCGTTTATAAAAAATATTATTATAAAGATATTGAGAATTCTTACTATGTCAGATTCCTGGAAGCATGCTTTTTCAGCCGATTACGAAACTGCTCTGTCCGTTTTGGGCTTTTACAATGTACATAGAAAATTTGCAGCTATTGCATTCTTTTTTTTTATAATCAAGTTGGCAGCATATTACTAAGAACAAAAATGACTGAAAAAAGCTCACGGTTTCGTCAAGCTTCAAAGTTTCACCCATTTATGTGGCCAGAAAGCTTTTTGAGCACGCATTTGAAATGCTGATGCAATACAGTATGCATTAAGCGATTGGTTTCCTCTTCACCGTATTAACATTTGTGTACTGTTGAACTTAAAGCAAATTTTCAATATGTTGCTGCACACTGCTGTATTTGTTTGAAGAGGGATGTAAAACTATTATTTACTTCTAAAAATAAGACCCACACAGACCAAATATAAAATTGAAAACCATTCCTAAATTGTAATTGAGTGCAATGATGAATTACAATTATTTTACTTAAGAAAACGATGTATAGTTTTTGGGTAATATAACTTGACTTGGCAAATACGATTCAATCTTTTAACAATTGGTATCGTCCGGCAGCCTCTCGTACCTTGAGTGTGCGAGGCGAGGCTAGAAAGAATCAACTGCTAAGCGGATGATGTCATCCTCATTATTTCGGGGCTGTGACCGCCTATCTTGTGACACATAGTTGATATGACCATCCATTCGATAATCATGTTATGACAAATTGACGATAATGTCATTAGAAACGTTTTAAGAAGCACATCCAATATCTTAAACTGCATCAATTTTGGGAAACTATTCTTGCACTCCTCCGTACTCATTTATATGTCTACCAATATATGAACTTTCTTATTAAAGTTGATTTATTATACAAGTACCTAATATATAATCTATCATATTGGAATTATTTTCGAAAGTGGAATAATAAAACTTACTACTTATGTTCCTTAGCTGTCTATTGTCAAATACAGTTTTCTGAAATATTCTTTTCCATGGTCCAACGACCAAGACTGTACTGTACTGTTATAACTCCGTGAATCGTCGTCGACCATGTTCAAAAGATAGTCATTATTATGAACGCAGTTTGTATATTTTTACTTCTCAATAGATAAACTTGTAGAGACGAAAATGATGTTATGTAAAACTTCACAAAAGCCGAGAGGTTTCGTCAACCGCCCATTTACATGACAAACGCTTGGATACATCCATTCGTGTTTTACATGTAGTACCTACACTTCCAACGGCAATAATAGTAATGTTAATTCATTTCAATGTTGTTTTCTAAATTTTGTCTCTTGTAGGCTTTCGTTTAGTTAAATTGTTGGTAGACAACCAGCTGTTCGAAATGCCTGTGATATTGCCTTTTCTTATTCTTCTCCTTTTCTTGTTCCAGAACATATTTCTCCTGAGTAGTTGCTTTTTTGTTATACTAACGAATTTTGTCTAAGGATATCTCCTGCTCAAGCAAAATGTAATATATTATTATATTTTCTATCTATAGACAGAAAAAGCAAACCAATATTCAAATCATTAATATGTTTTGATTGTGCAGAACATTTTTAAGAAAGATAACCACTTACAAAGCACTGATCATACATTATATTGTTTTTCATTACGGGAATTCTCTATACTAATGTCTATTTCTATACTCTGTGTCTAGGCCAGGCGTGCCAATGCCAAGACACAATTTATTATGATTTGTTACTTTTCTTTATAGAGGACAGACAAGATAGGCAAGTTGGTATCGAAAGAAATGTTTTGAGAAAATCGGTATTGTCATGGCGAACAAATATCTAAAAACAACAGAGTATAATAGAGTGACCACGATTTCTGGAAATAATCCAAAATGCATTGTCAAAATAAGGTGAAGAGTGTTTTATTTAAAAGAAGAGCGTGCGTGGGAGTCTATAGAGAATTGCTTGACCTTTTCATCTATTAAATAAATAATATACATAGTATTTAATGTTTAGTAACAGATAGATTTGATTACTTGCTGAGTGACTGCATACGCATTCTGAATTAGAGCTTAGCTTTAGAGCAATAATAACCGAAAAGTGTAAAATTTGTAAGTGAAATTCTGATAACCACTGTACGGAAAAATGCGGTGCAGGAGATGCGAACCTGTGCGCTTCACAGAATATCTTAAAACCGATGCGTTTTAGTTCCATCTATTTCTACACTGCGTGTCTAGGCCACGCACGCACGTCAATGCCAACAGGTCCGATTTTCATTTGTTTGTGTTTGTATGGTGTGGTGACAGAACTTGTAGCTTTAGCATTTTGCATTTCTTTTATTCTTCTGATTAAGTGGTCGGATCATCGTTGGTCTACTCTTGAGCTTTGCAAACAATGTGACAGTAGTTCAATAAAAGTATTTTAATTTATTGCCATTGTATTACCACGACGATATCACTCGGTTAGCACGCTGGGTCTGCGATTTTGGAAGGTAGCAACTTTCGCAATTATAGGTGTCTGTGCTTTGGAAGGTTTTCGTCCGTCAGCTCGTATCTGCAGTTGTCAGCACCCGCCCATCAACTGGTTGGCTTGGTTGTTCATTCCCCTTTTTCTCTATTCCATTCATAAAGAAGGCCCCTGCCCCAGCTCTGGAGATATTAATATGCTGGTGATGATTCTTCATCTTATTTTTAATGATAATTGTTTCTGTAAGGCCTTCTGGCAAACAGGCATTATCTAATGTGTTCCCAGATTCAAAAAAAGTTTCTTGATTCGAAAATTATGAAAAAAGAGTACATCATGCTTTACTAATCTATACTTATAATAAATCTGTAGAGGGGTCAATTCTGTACATGAAATACATTTTCAAAA